GAGACACACATATATCTATATTTATCTACAAAATAGCTATCTGTCTACAAAATATCTTCCTGATAATTTCATAGGAATTGCATTAAATCTCTTGGTTGAGTTGGGGAGAGCTAACATCTTTGCTGTGTTGAACCTTCCAGCCCATGAACACATCGTGCCTGTCCATTTCCTTAGGTCTTTGATTTCCTTCATTGGGTTCAGAGTTTAAGTCCTGTCCATCTTTGCTGAGATTTGTGCCTCCATGCTATATGTGTGATTACAAATCCTGAATTTCCAGTTTTGTACTCCTTGACACTGTGGGAACACGATGGATTTTTGTGCGATTGACCTTGCTGACCTCGCTCGGTTCTAGGAGGGGTTTTGTAGAGTTCTTGCAATTTTGTATCCGGGCAACGATGTCCTATGCGAATAGGGACAGGTATACCTCCCCCTTCCCAATCTGCATGCCTTTAGTTACCATTTCTTGCCTAGCTGCCCTGGCTGGGATGACCTGCTCTGACGGATGGGAGAGAGGGAGTGGACACCCGTGTCTTGCCTCAGGACTCAGGTGCTCTCCAGGAGTGAGATACAGGCTCGATTGTAAGTTATAAAGTGATGCTTCCCTGTGGGAAAAAGTGCTTCCAATATAGACTGTGGGACAAAGTCTGAAAGTCCACGGCCTCCCGTTTCCACCCCGTCTTGCCTGTGAGTCAGAGAGAAACAGTGCTAGCACGCAGTATGCACCTGTCCAGAGGCTGGCTGTTTGAGGGGCACAGGTGTGCACGCCTGGGGATGGCTAAGTGGAAGGTACAGGTCAGGATTATGATCGTGCAGACAGCCACCCACTGGCATGACGTCTGTGGCATCCTGGGGCGGCCATGGGGCTCTCAGGCCCTCTGCCTGCCCCACAGGCCATACTCCTGCCCTGGGCACAGCTGTCCTCAGTGCTGGCCTCTGACCCGACATAGCCCCGTCCCAGAAGGTGCTCCCATCACTGGCTGCCAGCCTGGACCCGACCCAGGCCCCTCCCACCTGAGGCCCTGCCAGGAACTGCCCAGCCCGGACACAGAGGAGGTTCCCGGGTGGACGTAGGGAAGAGCCTCCCATTGTCCCAGTGGAGGAAGCTGCCCCACGGGCTGAGGATGAGTCACGGGTTCGAGGAATCACATGGCAAGGCTGTGGGCAGGGCTTTTATCTGCCCTCCTCCTACATAAGGCCCCCCAAGCCCACACTGCCTCAGCATCCCTCTCGCTCAAGAGCTCAGAGCCACTCAAAGCTGCAGCCATGCCATGCCTCCTGCTCACCCTGGGCATGGCCCTGGTCTGTAGTGTCCAGGCCACGGACATGCCCCAGACCAAGCAGAACCTGGAGCTCCCAAAGGTTTGAGGCTGGGGGAGCGGGCGCTTTACCGTGCGAAGCATGGGGTGGGTGGGAGCTGCGGGCAGGCGGGAAGCCCAGAATCTCAGAAACCTACAGGAGGCTCAGAATGGATGCCATGACATCAGAAACCCCTCAGCTCTGCTCTCCATCTTTAGGGTGGCCTCTCTGGCTTCCCAGCATCCTAGGTGACTCATTATTTGGGCTTTGGAACACTCCTGAGTTAACACACACTGGTGAATTTCCATAGCCCAGTGTCTGGTAGACAACAGACCACCATCCAGTGCTCACTGTACCCATCCCAGTTAGACTCCACCCCGCCTGCACCGGTTGCCATGAGAGCCATGGTTGGGGGGAACCCCGTGCAGCCCAAGGCCCCCTCAGTTGGCAGGGACTTGGCACTCCATGGCCATGGCGACCAACAACATCTCCCTCATGGTGATGGTGAAGTCTGCTCTGAGGGTCCACGTCACCTCGCTGTGGCCCACCCCCGTGGACCACCTGGAGATCGTTCTGCACAGATGGTGGGTTCCTAGTCATTGGGACTGGGGCTTGGCGGGGGCTCAGTCTCCCCCCGCAGGGGTCCAGGACTGGGTGGGGTGAGCGGAGCTGGACTCAGCCCCAGGCATTTTCTGACGCCAGGGGCTTCACTGTGGCCCCTGCATGAGGGTGGGGTGGAAAACCCGGGCTCCAGATGTTCCCTGTCCCCTTGGAGCCCCTGCCCCAGGCTCTGGGCCAACAGCCAACCACACAGTGCAGCCCCAGGTCAGACTGAGGAGAAGGTCGGGCGGCCGTGGGCTGCGGTGCTCCTGGGACCCGGGGAAGTTCCTGTGGTGACCTGATTTTAGGGGTGACAGTGAGGGCAACTCCAATTCAAGTGGCCACTCATTCTATTGTCACCACCTTCCAGGGAAAACAACAGCTGTGTTGAGAAGAAGGTCCTTGGAGAGAAGACTGAGAATCCGAAGAAGTTCAAGATCAACTGTGAGCATCCCCAGGCCCCAAGCGCTGGCTCCGTGCTGGCAGGCTGGCCACGCTCTCCCAGAGGCAGCTCTGCTGGGGGAGAAGGGAGTGGGGCCTGGCCTGTGCCAACTCTCTCTGCTTCAGGGAGTCAGAGTGTTTGCTCCAGTCAGCCCGATACTGACCCCAAAGGCATATTTTACCTGGAGGGCGGGGGATGCACTAATTCTTGGCATGACAGTGGCTGGACGTGGGTCTGCACTGTGCCCAGGCACGGGCGACAGCCGCTTTGTGTGTACTGTTCACTCCGGCCTCACAACAGGCCAGGGAGGCTGCAGGCAAGCAGATGGGCAGGTGTATAGCTGGGCAGGTGAGAAGGTGGGCAGGTGGGTAGGTGGGCAGGTGAGAAGGTGGGCAGGTGAGAAGGTGGGCAGGTGAGCAGGTGGGTAGGCGGGCATGTGAGAAGGTGGGCAGGTGGGCAGGTGGGCAGGTAGGCAGCTGGGCAGGTGAGAAGGTGGGCAGGTGGGCAGGTGGGTAGGTGGGCAGGTGAGAAGGTGGGCAGGTGGATAGGCGGGCAGGTGAGAAGGTGGGCAGGTGGACAGGTGGGCAGGTGGGCAGGTGGGTAGGCGGGCAGGTGAGAAGGTGGGCAGGTGAAAAGGTGGGCAGGTGAGAAGGTGGGCAGGTAGGCAGGTGGGTAGGCGGGCAGGT